GGTGTTGGCGAAAAATATTGAATATACCATGGACTGCCAGAAGAATGAACAAATCTGTCTTGGAAGAAGTACAGCCAGAATGCTCCTTAGAAGCGCAGATGGTTAGACTTCATTTCATGTACTTTGGACATGTTATCAGGAGGGACCAGTCCCTGGAGAAAGACATCATGTTTGGTAAAGTAGAGGGTCAGCAAAAGAGAGGAAGACCCTCAAGGAGATGAATTGACACAGTGGCTGCAATGATGGACTCAAGGATAGATGATTCTAAGGATGGTGCAGGACTGGACAGTGTTTTATTCTGTTGTACATAGGGTTGCTATGAGTCGGAACTGACTCCATAGCACCTAACAACAAGAACAGCAACAATCTTTGAAATATTTTGGCCATACAAATAGAGGACTGTTTTTCTCATTTTCTTTTTTAATGAGGACATAATATCACACGAAGATTGTTTTATGTCTGTATCCTTGGTTTCTCCCTTCATGAATTATCTTTTTTTTTAAATTTTTACCATGGAAAATTTCACACAATCATAAAAGTGTCGTTGTTAGGTGCTGTCGAGTTGGTTCTGACTCATAGCGACCCTATGTACAACAGAACGAAACACTGCCCGGTCCTGCACCATCCTCATAATCATTGTTATGCTTGAGTTCATTGTAGCAGCCACTGTGTCAATCCATCTCATTGAGGCTCTTCCACTTTTTCACTGACCCTCTACTTTACCAAGCAAGATGTCCATTTTCAGGGACTCGTCCCCCCGACAATGTGTCCAAAGTATGTTAGACGAAGTCTCACCATCATTGTTTATAATGAGCATTCTGGCTGTACGTCCTCCAAAACAGATTTGTTTGTTCTTCTGGCAGTCCATAGTATATTCAATATTCTTCTCCAACACCATAATTCAAAGGCGTTAATTCTTTTTCGGTCTTCCTTATTCATTGTTCAGCTTTCACACACATATGAGGCGATTGAAAACACCATAGATTGGGTCAGGTGCACCTTAGTCCTTAAAGTGACATCTTTGCTTTTTAACACTTTAAAGAGGTCTTTTGCAGAAGATTTGCCCAATGCAATGGGTCTTTTGATTTCTTGACTGCTGCTTCCATGGACGCTGATTGTGGATCCAAGTAAAATGAAATCCTTGACAACTTCAGTCTTTTCTCAGTTTATCATAATGTTGCTTATTGGTCCAGTTATGAGGATTTCTGTTTTCTTTATGTTGAGGTGTAATCCATACTGAAGGCTGTAGTCTTTGATCTTCATCAGTAAGTGCTTCAAGGCCTCTTTACTTTCAGGTTGTGTGATCTGCATATCACAAGTTGTTAATGAGTCTTCCTCCAATTCTGATGCCCTGTTCTTCTTCATATAGTTCAGCTTTTCATTATTTGCTCAATATACAGATTGAATAAGTATGGTAAAAGGATACAATGCTGACACACATCTTTTTTGACTTTAAACCATGCAATATCCCCTTGTTCTTTTCGAAAGATTGCCTCTTTGTCTAAGTCATGTTCCTTGTGCTCTGGAATTCCCATTCTTCACAATGTTATCCATAATTTGTTATGATCCTCACAGTAAAATGCCTTTGCATAGTCAATCAAACACATGTAAGTATCTTCCTGGTATTCTCTGCTTTCAGCCACGATCCACCTGACATCCATAAAAGTATAGAGTGATATAATGAGCCCTCATGTATTTATCACTCAGCTTTGACCGTTGTAAACTTATTCTCCGTGTCTCCTAATATAGTTTTTACTGTGACATTAACATTCCAAAGTATTTTCTCCTCTTTCTGTTTGTGCTTATCTTTTTACTTCCTGGAAAATTCACTTAGGTAAGCCTTAAAAATGGAAATATTGTAGTATTCCTGATTTGCTATAATTCGTTGTTAGCTATAATATTTTGTGTACTGTCATTGTCTTCAGCCACTCAAGAAGTACGAAGACTCATTTCCACTGCAGATGCTTGTGGGTGTGAAGTCACACTGGCATTCCAAGAGAAGGTCAGCTCATATCTTCAGAGACTGAACACAAAACATATCCTTTCTGGTAGTGTTTCTGCTTCCATTTGAAGTCTATTCAGGTACTACAATTGAACCAAACATTGTCCAAACATTAGGATACTCCGCAGGACATGTGCCTTATCCGTTAAATTTTAAGATGAGCAGTAATAATACATAGTTTTTAAAAAAATTTAATTGAGCTCCTTTGTACAGTTTTAAATAGACCATTTCACTCATTTAATATCTGCATATAAAAGCTGCCCAACTATTTCTTTCCCTTGTGCTTTTCCATAGCAATATATCCTCTAATTGAGCTCTTTTATAATAGATGGAGCTATCATGCTATAATTCCTTAATATGGCTTTTTAAATTCAGCATCTGTATACATACAGAGTCAGCTGATTAATGGGGTGTGATATCTTAGATTAGACATAGTTGTACACTTTGGCTAGCCAAGTAACCAAAAAGCAAACTTCAATCTAAGAAACTTTTAAAATCAGTTCTTTAGCCAAATGAGTAGCTCAGGAAAACTACGTTTTCTCAGCACAGCTCAAGTTAACAACTCTTTTCCTAGGTACCTTATAGAAGTGGTATTCACATTGTGGTAGGTATGCCCTAGAAGTATGCAAAGACTTTCAAGGATTATGGGGACACAGATAGTTTTTAAAAATTCAATTTCCAAATACTTCACATCCTTAAACTGATCTGCCTAATACAGTACTTGGGGTCAGTTGGCATTCTCTTTTACCATCTCCCATCTCAGTGTTACCACTCTCCTAACTTTATAGAAAGGCATCATTCTTACTTACCCTGAGTCTAACTAAGGTACATTTCCCAAAAAGTAAATCTCCAGGAGCCAAACAACGGGAGAATTCAACAATTTCTTTAACCAAGACTTCATACACGCTGTTCCCCTAATCCATCCCATTAAGAGATGCCTTTCTAATTAAATTTTACCTTCTACTTCTAATTTTTTTGGGTTAAATTTGTAATTTATTTGTTGTTTAGATCAATTATGTGCTCATCATAATTATAATGATTATTCAATCCAGGTGATTTTTTTTTTAAATTAAGGGCCTTATGATCACAGAAAATTAAAGATTAGTTTAAATATATGTATATGCTTGTTTATTTAAGTTTATTTACAGAATATAAGAGTGATTACAAAAAGATTTCCAAGATTTGAAGTACAATGAAGTTTTGTGGGGAAAGTAGAAAGGAAAAAAAAAAAAAACTTTAAATACTTTATTTTAAATGAATGATAAAACAAAGCAAAACAAAAAAATCAAGTTTCTGGCAAGTGAATTCCAACTCATGTGTCAGAGCAGAATTGTGCTCCATAGTGGTTTCAGTGGCTGGTTTTTTGGAAGTAGATCACCAGGCCTTTCTTATGATGCATTTGGGTGGATTCAAATCACCATCCTTTCGGTTAGCATCCCAGAGTTAACCTTTGCACCACCCAAGGACTCCTAAATGAATGGTAACAGGTATCAATCTTATATAGTATTCATATTATATGGGATATATATGAAAGACTGGTTAAAATTCTTATTTTAAAGAGTCAGTATTTATAAAATACCAGAAAGATTTATTTCCTTTCATCTTGTGTTAAGAGTGTTTGAAAGTCTTAACCTTATTAAAAAAATCAGAGGTCTATTCACTTTACACTTTTTGTAAAATCTTGTGAACAAAATTAGGTAATTATGTTCTTGTAGTGAATTTACAGTTAGTTTTAACTAAAAATGCATATTTATATATTCTATTTATGTCTAAGTGGATATGTTATTATTTTGCATCTCTAGTATTCATGAAGTTTTATGCATTCTTTTGTTTAAAGGTACTCTAAGTGACTAATAGTAAAAGTAACAAAAATTTTTAAGGTGGTCTGTCAAGGCGGATATTAGTTACCAAATGATAACAAATTTACAAAACTTTTTAAATGTGTAAAAATAAATGGTGTTGGCCTTAACAACTAGCCACTTGATAACATTTTGAAGAAGTTGCAAGTAAATGAATATGGACAAGTACATCGTTAAATTGCTCAAATTTTCACCTGGAAATGCGGAGAACTTGGTGTATTTAATGCTCATTCATTTTTTTCATGCTTAATTATCTCCAATGTGCCTGATAATAATTTGTCATTACAAATGCTTGACATTACTGGATAAATAGTTAAATGATCTTCAGTTGAATCAGTTTCTTTTTTTTTTCCAAGGAAATGAATGTCCAGAACCTTATTAACAGCAACTTTTAGTGTCTCTAAACTATGACTGTGAAATGTCTGATAGGAAATAGAATGAAAAGTTTAATTTTCCTTTTTTTTAATCTACTAATTGAGCCATTTAATTTTTAAATGTTTGTATTAGTAAGATAACTATATTCACAATGAAAACTTTTTTCTTTTTATAGTATTTGTAATATTAACCAATTTTATTACTGGGAGTGTAAACTGTAGAAAGTACACATAAAAAAGTTCATATAATTAAATTGAGGAGAATAAAATTCAGAACTGTATCTTTTAATGCTATTTTTTGCTTTTGCTGGAGTATTATTGAATCTGTGATCAGGGGATTGCAATATAGATATCTAAAAATAGTTAAACAAAGATTAAGTCAACATGACATGTCATTTTAAATTCATTCTGATGTTATAAAGACATGCACAACTAAAGAGCACTAGCTTAGCTGTGAATTACAGGTGTTATAACTTTTTACCAAGGATTAAAAACTCCTAAATTTGGTTTTCCTTTAGGAACCAATCAATAAGATTATCTATTTATAAATACTGTTATAACAAGCAACAAAACCTCGTGCTGTCTTAATGTTAATGATAAGCCTAGCTTTTTTTTCACTCATAAACATTTAATACATATAATTTTTTTCAGTCTTAAAGCTTATAATGTTCAGAACTAACAAACCAGTCCTTCAAATTGTGTACTGCTAAGTTCTTCTTTTGGTTTGTATTATTGGTATAATAAACAGATTATTATCTTTATATATTACTGTCATGTCTTTTTTTGTCTATTATATCAATTTTGTCTACTAAACATATTTCCTTAAATTAAATAAATTGAATTAAAAATTAATTTGAATGTGTAAGTTTCTTGTCAAAGGACAGAATATTGAGTTTTCCTATAATTTAAGCTCACATTCTTGAGGCTAAAACTGTGAATTCAGGTTAAATAGAAAGGCTATTATGTTGTGGGAGAGGGAATAATAGAAAGTCACCTAAACTGAGATAAAACAATAGTGTTACTTTAATATAAGCTCCTGAAAAGTAAATATAACCTACATATGTAAACTCAGAAAGAACCAAAAATCTAAAATATAAACTTTAAAGAAAAAAAATATTTTTAATGTACTAAGACAGTATACATGAAAAATACTTTCACTTTCTCAAAATTTTAAAGAACATGACAGAGCAATATTTTTTCCAAACTTATCTGATCACATAATCAGTAATACATATTATTACAGAGAAATGGTGCTATAGAAGGAATAAATGAGCGCTCATTTGCAAGAACAAGGAATTTAGAAAGACAGAGAGTTTTTCCAGACTGTGACCAATAGTAACTAGCTTCAACTAAATTGTTGTTGTGTGCCTTGGAGTAGATTCTGACGCATAGCAACCCTATAAGGCAGAGTAGAACAGCCCCATAGGGTTTTCTTGGCTGTAATCTTTATGGGGACAGATCGCCAGGTCTTTCTCCTGTAGAACCATTGGTGGGTTTAAACCACCAACCTTTAGGTTAGCAGCTGAACACTTATACCATTGTGCCATCAGGGCTCCCGTTGATTAAACTCATCATGTTTTAAACTTGACCTGTTGATTAGAAACCCCTGGCTTAGATAATACTGATTTGTTTCATGAATTCCATATAGGGAGCATGTGAATGGGGGCCAATTTACCAGACCTCTTAGGAATTTATAGTTTGGTGCTGAAAAAGATGGATACACATACAATTGAAAGCAAATAATTATCTGAATGGGGTGGGGATTAAGTTTGGGAATAATCCTCTGAGAGGCCTGATTTGTGCCAGTTTGGTTAAACACAATCTGTCAAGGGGGTAGGAACATCATAGGATATAAAAAATGGCTTTGGGAGCCCGATGGGATGCTGGGACGTTGTTATTATTGTACCATCAAGTGGGTTCTGACTCACAGCGACCCTTGTACAATAGAAGGAAACTCTGCCTGGTCCTGCGCCATCCTCACAATCGTTGCTATATTTGAGCCCATTGTTGCAGCCATTGCGTCAATCCATCTCACTGAGGGTCTTCCTCTCTTTTGCTGACCCTCTACTTTACCAAGCACAGTGTGTTTCACCAGGGACTGGTCCCTCCTGATAACATGTCCAAGGTACATGAAATGAAGTCTCACTATCCTTGCTTCTAAGGAGAATTCTGGCTGTACTTCTTCCAAGACAGATTTGTTCTTATGACAGTCCATGGTATATTCAATATTCTTCACCAACACCATAATTCAAGAGCATCAATTTTTCTTCAGTATTTCTCATTCATTGTCTAGCTTTCACATGCAGATGACGCGATTGAAAATACCATGGCATGGGTCAGACAAGCCTTAGTCCTCAAAGTGACATCTTTGCTTTTTAAAACTTTAAAAAGGCCTTTTGCAGCAGATCTGCCCAATGTCATCTTGGGATACAGCACACATATTGTCATGCTCAGTGTGGGGACAAAATAGTAAAGAAATTTTAGGACTGAGGGAAGATCTGTCGATTCCTAGGTTTGATAGGAAAGGCACTAGGGACCATTCTTAATTCTTGAGTGTGCTGGGTGAGGCAACAGACACAGGAAGTCCAAGGATTTGAAGATTATTTGCCTGAGATGGAAAAAGACTCCAAGTGGGGAAATGAGCTACGGCTGCATAAAGTACGTACATGCAGATTAAACAAATCAACAGTGATAGCCACAGAATATGATAAAAGGGAAAACCAGGGATAAATAAAAGATGTTGTTAGGTGTCATCGAGTCAGTTCCAACTCATAGCAACCTATATGCAACAGAATGAAACATACCTGGTCTTGTGCCATCCTCATAATCGTTGTTATGCTTGAGCCCACTGTTGTTTCCACTGTGTCAATCCATCTCATTAAAGGTCTTCCTCTTTTTTGCTGACCCTCTGTTTTACCAAGCACGATGTCCTTCTCCAAGGACTGGTCCCTCCTGATAACATGTCAAAGTATGTGAGACGAAGTCTCGCCATGTTTGCTTCTAAGAAGCATTCTGGCTGTCCTTCTTCCAAGACAGATTTGTTTGTTCTTCTGGCAGTCCATGGTATATTCAATATTCTTCACCAACACCATAATTCAAAGGTATCAATCCTTCGGTCTTCGTTATTTACTGTCCAGCTTTCACATGCATACAAGGCACTGAAAACACCATGGACTGGATCAGGTGCACCTTAAAGTGGCATCTTTGCTTTTCAACACTTTAAAGAGGCCTTTTGCACCAGATTTGCCCAATGAGACTAAATAACTTCATGAGAATAGCTCTACTTGGATCGCTTTGTGGTAACTCTCCAGGAATTCAGAAAGGACAACGAAGAATGAACAAAAAACGAGGGTGGAAAAAGAAGAGAATATAGAACCCTAGGCGAGAAAATACCAAAAACGTAGTTCAAGTATTTTAAAATAGGAGGCTACAACCCCAGTGGCAATTACGTGCTGTAAAGACCCAAAGCTCGTAAGTATTCCTTTGATAAGGACCCTCGTCTGCAGTAACAGTTTAAATAAGCTGTTAAAAAAATAGAATAAACAATTCTCTACCTCCAAATTGCTCCACCCGTTGCCATGGAGTCGATTCGGACTCACAGCGACTCTTATAACACAGAGTAGAACTGCCCCATAGGGCTTCCAAGGAGTGGCTGCCGGATTTGAATTGACCTTTTGGTTAGCTGGCAAGCTCTTAACCACTGCCACACCAGCGCTCCAAATTGCTCCGCAGGGTTCTCAAATTCCCAAAGGCACAAGGGAAGGCATGCAACATCTCAAAACACGCTTTTGCACTTTCATTTGGCAGACGGCGCCAGCCTACCAAATACAGTAAATGACTTTTCCCTTTAAAGAAGGTTGAGACAATGGGGCTTACAAAATACCAAATCATTGTGACCTCATTGTAATGGGCGCAGTGATTAAGAACTATGACGTGCTATGGCTGCTAACCAAGACGTCAGCAGTTTGAATCCACCAGCCGCTCCTTGGAAACCCTATAAAGCAGTTCTACTCTGTCCTATAGAGACGCTATGAGTCGTAATCGACTCCACAGTAACGGGCTTTTTGGTTTTTACTCCTTAGTTTACATGAACACCTCAGGCGCAGTTCAAACTCGACCGTCAAAGATCTGGTGTCTCCTCAGACCTCGCTGGGACGGAGGGCAGCTGAGGCGACGAGGCAGGGCAGCCGCCCCAGGAGCGCGCAGCGCTAGCAGCAGGTCGCCCATCCACCCCAAGCAGAAAGTAGAAAGTCCTAGGGACAAAATGACCAGGTCCAACCACAGGCTGTTTCCCGCAACCCACGACCCCTATAAATTCACCAACGTCTGCGCAGGCGCACGCCGCCCAAGTGCCCAGCGCGAGGCCGGCACCGGAAGTGTCTCTCGGCGCCCCGGATGCGACCGGGAAGCGGCGGTTGCCAGGGAGACGGGAGCTTCCAAGTGCTGCTTGTACTCTGGATTGGAGACTTAGAACGAGCTACCTGTCGCAGACCTTGACGGCTGAATCCCTCCTCTCGGAGTTCTCAGGATGTTCTTTTACCTGAGCAAGAAGGTAAGTTTTCCAGGGAGCGCCCTTGCTCCCGCTCCATACCTGCATCCTGTGGGCGATTCCCGCATCCTTTCGGGGAGGCTAGGAGTCTTCACCTGGCTTCACCATCCAACTTCCAGCCTTCCTGCCTGGTCCAGCCTCGGACCGCCTCCTACCGGTACCCTTAACAGAACCAGCAGCCTTCTCGCACGATTTCTTTCCTGCCCCTCGCTAGGTCCTTCTGGGGGCCAGCAGGACAGAGCACTAAATGCTCTTCGACCTTTCATTCTCCACCTGTTGCTGATCCAGGTGATTTAAATTATGTGCATCATCACGGGCCGTCGGCTAGAGAAAAGAACAACAAAAGGGTAGCCTGAGTGTTGTGTGTGGAAGGGGAATATGGGCTGGTTGTATGGATTTATACTTCCGTCCTCACTCCCCCTCTCCTTTATCCGTCAGATGACTACCCCGTTGGGTTCCTCTGCAGTCACTGCCCTCTTGTGTGCACCTCTTTCACCCTTTCCCAAATGGTGGGGCCCCGGG